CTGAAAGCAAATTTTTGTATTCCCTGGATTATGTACATAGAATTTCTAGATCTCACCTCATGGCATGTCGAATTGATAAGCTTATCAATATCAGTCTCAACAATTTCAATTGCATTTTTCAATTCATTTCAAACTCACACACACACACACACATACTTACAGCCCATGTCAAAATAGAACCAATACGAAATAACAAATAGATCCAATTTAAGCGCCAGGCCGAAGCAGGCGTAAATGAAATCCGTTGGCTTTTCCCATTTGCCACGATTCGGATCTGGTTTGAATGGCTTGCGGCCGCTCTCGTAGGACGTTTCATACACCATTTTATTGGCAGCAGCTGATAGCAGTTATCGTCGAATATATTTATGTATGTATATATATATTTATATATGTATATGACTGCACCGAATATAAATTGGCTTTATATAGAAATTGAATCACAGCCTCCAATGCATCTCGTATACTACATAAACATAAAAAGAAAACAAACAAAAAAGAAATACAACAAAATGTGTGTTTAAACAAAATGCGATTAACACACGACGCAATGTCGCTGTGAATTTTAATTAATTTCGTCTATTTCGTTGTCGCTGTTATTTATTCTTGGTTTTTACGTTTATTATTATTATTATTATTTTTATTTTTGTTTTTGGTTGGTTTTTCGCGCGCCCGCTTACTTTAAATTGACGTTCTAATTAGAAGAGACGATGCCGGCAGACTGAATGTGAGGCCTGCGAGAGCATCCGTAGCATCCATCTATGCATTGGATAGATATTTTTTTCATTTTTCATTATCAACGCTGGCCGCTGTCTGTATAAATACAGCAACAGTTTGCCAAGTTCTCAACGGCAGCAGCAGCTGACACGTAATACATAGTACATTGAGAGAAATCCAAATGGGCTGAGTAGAACATTTGATATTTGTATTGAAAACACATCGCGGCGACCGCAGCACATGACATTGCATTGATTAGAAATACGTAGGAGATTTCAATATTTATAATATAAATATATATAAATCTATATATTTGTGTGTGTATGCAATCATATACATACATAAAATCAGTTCGTGAATTTTCATACATTTCTCAGCAAATAAGTTTTCTGAAAGAAATATATGCATATATACCGAAATATTTCAAAATAAACTTTTTGCTCAATTTCAAAATCTTAGCCATTAAAAATAAACAAGTATGAAAAAAAAAAAAGCGTAAACACACTCAAAATTTTTCAGTTGTTTATTTTCAAGCTGAATTTGAATTGCAGTGTAAAAAGGCAACAGCCGTCTCTTCTCCATTTTTGAATTTCATTTTTTTAATTATTTTTTTCCTGTAAAGCCGATCATGTGCTTTATTTATTACTAATCTGGCGAAACAATCGCATATTGCATTTACATAGAAATATTAATATATACATATAATACATATATACATACATATACGCATATGAATATTTATTAATGAGTGCCAAACAGACAAACCTATTTGTGCAATGCCAAAAAGTATGCAAGCAACGTATGTAAATTACATAAGTTGAGCTTGGAAATAAGGAAGAGTTGATACCATAGAGTCTCAACATCTGGATACTATTTACGAGTTTTTCAGTAACTTTCGAATATAAAAAAAGTTAATATAATAATATAAGTTCTCTGAAAAATTTGTACTAAAACAGTTCCAGCATATAATACATAATGTGAAGGATGTTTAGGATATGCGGATGAATCCATTCCTAAACCAGGCTCAAACCTATCTATAACTATCGACAAAACCTTTTTTTTAAACTAAATTAAATTTCAAAATAAGAAAAAGCCTTCATTTAAAATTGTTTAAAAGCTCTTTGCTGTTTTATTCATACAGATATATGTATGTATATCTAACATATATATGCAACTACAAATATCACCAGTTTATTGTTCTCTATAACTAGATTTGGGAAATATCAGTACATTCAATAGAAACGAAATAACTTGCGCTCATCTAAAATATTTCAGCTGTTCAATGCACGCAATTAGGTTCAGTTCGACCTGAGTAGCAGGTCCATCGCTTAAGTACAATATCAAAATAAAAAGTACCAAAATTATGAGTAAGTTAGGCACTATGCAGTTCTGCTAGGCGACGTTGCCATTATCAATGACAAGCATTTCGGAGGTGCCCATAATCTCCTCATAGAACCGGCGATTGTCCGCGTTCACCGGATGCCAATCGTGGGGAGAGAAGCATTGCCGCATCCGTTTGCGCCAGTTGCCATTGGTCTGGCAGATTCGATAGACCATGTAGCCCAGGGCAACCAGATATATCAGACTCTGACTGACCCATATCAAGGTGTCCTCGACACCGTTCACCGACATCATATAGATAGTCTGCCACTGAAAATACCAATAAATTGGAGCTCAATCGAATATCAGACTAAATATATGTATATGGAGCATACCAAGGCGACTCCGAGGAAAAAGGGCACCACGAATCGTATGCAAGTTATCTTAAAATTTGAGATCGTTTTCCCCAGCATGAATTGGAGATCACATTGGAAGCGCACGCGTCCGTATATCCAAGTAGCCATGACTATTAACAAGGCGGAGATGATGATCTGTGTGAATACCGACATGTAGGACAAGGCGCTAACTTGGCTAAAGCCCAGCTAAAAGAAAGAGTTACGATGTTAGCTGGGGTGCATTTATAAAGTAGTCTAAAACCAACCCTGGTGCAGAAGTAGAGGGATATGAGCATCAGCCACAGAACCAGGAATATCGTAATGGTCCTCTTTCTGGGTCGCAGCTGCTCGAACTCATCGAAGATGGCAGTCAAAACCGACATCATTTGAATGATCTGCAATGGGGAAGAAGACATAGATGTAGATGATATAGATGTTGACTTAGATATTTATATTACCAATGCACTCAGCTCGGCTAGAAAGATGATGGTAAAGAACAGAAAAGACCAGAGTCGCGGCACTGTGGTAAAACTTCCCAGGAGATAAGCATGGGCCAGATAAAGGAACTGTATCGTATGCTTCTTCTCCACATGCCACATGGCCACATGCACTAGAAGAGAAAATTAAATATGTGCACATATTATATATATACTAGAATTCTATAGGGTCTTGAACTCACGTTCAAAATGATCGTTGGCCACATGCCCGCAGATCAAGGCCATCATCGTGACGAGCACATGGGTGATGCACACCCAAATGCTGAGGCGTTCGGAATCGCTGCGAAAGCTATTGTAGCTGCCGAGCGTTATGATGCTGCCCCAGCCAGGACCCAGCACCATGCTCGCCTGCAATATGGCCGTGCCCAGTCCGGCCTGAATGGCACTCCAGCTGGGCACTGTGGGGTGCAGATACTCAAGGAATGACTCCCAGTTAACCTGCTCGTGGATCACCAGGTAAGCGAAGACGGCCACAAAGAAGCTGAACATCACAACCCCAGCACAGCGCAGTGTTTTGCCAATCTGCAAGTTAAGATTAAAGATGAGCTCTGCCCATATGAAATACTATTCTCTGCTTCTACCAATGAGACGTTGCTCAGCAGCAGCACGAGCACAATGCACCAGATGCCCATAATGGCGAGCACCATGGGCCAAGATATGGTCCAAGAGCTGGAATCTGATGTGATCGAACCTATCACAGAGCTGAAAAAAAGAAATTCTTAATATTTATTATATATTATTATGTACAATTATAGAACTTACTGAAAGAATTCCACAATGGCGTGTGGCTTTTGTATCAGCGCCTGTGAATATATAGAAAGTATGATTAGCAATATATATGATGTTATCTCCATTTGTTAAATTAGAGTTTGTTTTAGTCTTTTTTTGAAGCCTGCAATATTTATCAAGAACTTTTGGCAGAGGAGTCCGTTAAGGCAGCTTTAACAAACATTTATCACATATGACAGTGGCTTTGAATTCACTTACTGACCAAAATCCAATTGTATTACAAAGATGTGCCTTAATTTATTTTCTTTCCCAATTGTCAGTCATTACCCATAACACACAGTTCTATCTATTGCTTATGTGCTTAGATGACTTACATCCTCATTATATTCACTGTGCGTGGAGCACTCGGCTGTGTTCCACGTATTGTTGCAGCTCATCCAGGGCAGAACTTTACGGAACGAATTGACGGCATAGATGAATGGCACAGCTGCATTGATGCTATAGTAAGTGAGTGTGCCCAGATTAAGCAGTAAAATGGAATAACCAATGCCTGAAGTTAGATTCAGAATGAGTCAAACAAACATATATGGAAAACCCTTTTTAATCAACAGACTTACCCTTGAATATGGGCGACACACGAAATGCCGAAATGGCGCCCGATGTGGAAAATTGTCCCAAAAAAGTTTGTATTAGAAATATGGGCAGTGAATAAAAACAAATTGACAACAGGTAAGCACTTAGATAGTATTCTGAAAGATATAGACAAACAGTAAGGTTAGACTATCAGACCATAATATAAACTATTATATAGAATATAAGTCTATATTTCAAATAAACAAGGATGAGTCACAATGCTGAGTAGAAGGCGCAAGCCGAGGCTGTAGATAAAAACAGACTTAAATAATATTACTCATACGCCCCGCTGTGCACAGTGAAAATCTGTTTTTAAGTGCATTACAACGCCGACAATTATAGTGGTAACTAATTTATTTAAAATATATACAAATAAAAACAATTGAAATAGAAAGAAAGAAATCTAAAAGCAAGCACAATCATATATTAAGCATACGTCATGTTGCTCATACTATTTGCAAAGAATTTGTTCGCCAGCATCAAGAGTCATAATTAACATTTGTATTTGAGCACAAATAGTAAATGTAAATTCCGGCTCTTGATTTAGTTAACGAACAGCTAAATTGCACATAAACTTTTGATGTATAATTTATTAGATTTATGTCCAATTTTATATGTTATTATTAGTCATGAAAATAAATGTGAGAATATTAATTCAATAGAAGTTAATAACTTAATGGCGATTTTCATAGACTTTAGCTTTTACAATACATAAGACAATAATTGCAATCCGTTTTATTAATCGCGAATTTTTTACTAGCAGCAAAAAGATTTTTTTCTATGTGTATATAAATAAATAAGTATTATTATTAATTAAATTTATTTTTGTTTTCATGCCTGACTTCTACTGATAACCTCTTCAGCAAAATTTAATTGAATTCCGCTGATAAGCGTATGTTAAGCAGAAACTGTCAATAAACTGAGACCAGAAACGTGAAGGTCAGGCTAATAATAGACTAATTGAACTAGATCTATACTTACTCCAACCACCGAAATACAGACCCCAGACCGGGGCATCCGAGAAGACCATAGTGCTGAAGGCGTAACTTGAGCTGGCAAAGTAGAAATCAGCCGATTTGGCCCAACGACCGCGCAGATTGTCGGGTCGAAAGGGTCGCTCCATGGTGTCATAGGAGCTGGTGTTCCGTATGGCCAGGCTTTGCACCTGACGGGCGCGAAAAACGCGACGCGCCGGCGATGCACCTCTGCCACTTTCATTTGCATTCCCAATCCCGTTTCCATTTCCATTGGCAACTGTTGTTGTTGTTGTTGTTGCACTTGCAATGCCATTTCCAACGGATGCATTGTCACAGTCGGCCAGCAGCATGCATTGGTTCAGCTGCTGCATGGCATCGCCGCAGATGCCCTTCATGCTGCTCGCAAGCTAATCAGCCACCTTGGCAGCGGCTACGTCATTGGCAATTGTCAATTGGCTATTGGCAATCGGCTGTATTTTTTTTTTTATATTTTTTTTTTATTGAAGTGCTGCCTGGCACTATAAAAACTGATTCGATTGCACTTGGTTCTTGTTAATGTATTTTATGTTTCAAGTTCATTTCGTTTCGTCACTGCAAACACTTTTCATTATATTGTTCGCTTTTTATTCGGCACCCAGTGACCCACTTAACGGCTTTTGGGTCAGCAAAAAATGTTGTACTCTGCCCGGCTAATAAATTTATTTTATGAGAATTTCTGCTTTTAAGATTCTGAAAAGTAACTGCCGTCGCTGTCGCGAGCTAATTGAATGAAGCGCGTTTATTTTCGTATCGCCAGCTCCCCTCGCACGATGATCTCTTGCTTAATTTGCCAGCACTGTAAACACCCAAACGATTGCGATGCTCGAAGGCAAATGATGCGATTTGTAGTTGCGGTTCCTCCTGCCGCCACTAAGTCAAGCTAAATAATTCGAATGAAAAAAAAAAAGTGGGTTTAATTAAATATAAACATATGTGCATGTGTGTGTGTGCGTATACAATGAGCACAGTGTGCTAAAGTCCACTGATATACAGTGAGCTGTGAAATGTCAGATGTAAAAATAACATTAATACGCAATTTCAGTAAATTTTGATAATTACAAACCAAAATTTTTAATGAGACAAATACAATACATAATGATTATTAAATGGCAATCAATCAAAAATGATGTTGAGCCCACTGTGCAATGACATTGCTTGACTGTTGTTGCTGCACTCGCTTTCAGTGTTTCCTCAACAATGT